AACAGAGTCCTTAGAAATCGGTTGTGACCAGCACAAGCGTGAGTCGCTTGGTGTTGGAAAAAGAGTTTTAAAAGAGTGCGTCCTTGTGTGTTTTCATTTCGTTATCTTGGTGTTCTTTCCCTAAGTTAAATCAGTTTACGAGTTTTGAGTTTGTGTTATTGTGTTCTTATTCTTTCGTGAATTTTCGGTGTCTCAAGACCAGTATTCGCCATCCTACAATATAGTATGTTATACCACACTATAGATATTATAATCTATGACACTGTAGTATATTATACTACATTATCTTGTTACTAGTTACATTCAAAATGAAAATACACTATAGTTATTACGATTTAACACCGCCATCTTTAACGACTCCTACTATACTGCATTATCATACTGTACTATATTATAATAATATATATATGTAGAAATTGTTTTACAAGAGATCATAAATGAGAGTATGAGACATGGGGTGTAGGTGTCATAATTTAATTTTTATAAGTTCCTCTTCTTCCAATTTTATGAGATGATTTTACAATTCTTAGCGTTAGTATGAATATTAAATTGATGAGATTAAAAATTCTTTAAATTGGTAGGAAAATTATACAATATAATAATGTATGTGTTTATATATCATTCAAAATTTTATTATAAATCTAACGATATAATAGTGTATAATACGTTTAATCAAAATTGAGGAGATTCAGTATATTCGATGTACCTAAGGCTAGATCTTTGAGTGTATTTAGCTGTTGCAGCAATGTACAGGAGCTTGACGACCATTTACAGTGCCGGTAGCAGGGTCAAGTAATCCCGGGAATTGAAGATCCTTATTTAATTAATCCCTTGTTGTAATGAAATGTAACGACAAATGTAATTTATGGTTTATCCATAATGTAATCTTCCTAAAACCTTTGTAAAAATTTTATTTTAATGTTTCCAATTTAACATTATACACATTATATGCAGTAACATATGCACATACAAAAGCAAATACATATAATATTTTTACTTCCATTATTTTCCCTAAGTGATTCGTTCTATTGCTTAATTCTTTCACAAATAAGACTTCGTATATGTCCGAAAATTTGTCAATAATATTGTTACAACAATATTTGTTACAATAATATAATTGTTTCAACAATATTATATAA